CTACGGCGGGGCTTATAATTCGATTTGGGGGATGCAAACCCCATGCGAGCCATACGTCCAGTATGCGCGACATGCAAGACCCAGCAGCCGCGTGCGCCCTATGATTCTATGGCAAAGCGTTGGCAATAGGACGTGTCTACCTGCAAGTGTGTTATACCCGTTATACCCGTCCGCCGTGATGCATGATTGATCGGGGCTAACCTTGTTGCGTAATTAATTTGAAATAATTACCCTCCTAACCAGAATTAATGATCGCGGTGGGGTAGCTCGGGGGGAAATTATTTCTATCGAACCACAATTCACGGGTAATAGCCAAAAAATGTATCTTCCTTGTTTTCGCGATTCGATTCACTTTGGTAAAAAAAAAAAAAAAAACAATTTTTTACAGAACCAAAAAAAAATTCAAGCGTAAACAAATTATTTCGATCGTTTAAATTGAACAAAAAAATGTCTTGCCAATAATCCTAGACCTAACGATTTAACGTCAAATGCTTGATTTCATCTCCCTCGATATTTTCCCGCAAGTAGGGCCAAGGGCTGAAATGGGAGATGAAAGTACGGGAAAAAAATATCCGATAGAAAAATTCACGTCGGTAAAGTCATTGCTAGACGGAACTAATTATATTGGGCAGGGGGTGGTCAGGGGGGTGAATAGTACGAAAGTGGCGTAAAATACGTTTGACCGTAACCGGAAACCGCAAATCTCTCACGTTTGGGGCAAAACCCAAAGTGGTTAAGTATTTTCGAGAGGGATTCGACTTCATGATAATAGTGGTCCAGATCTCGGGATCCTCTCAGTGCCCAAGGAACGTGGCTCCAGCATCTTCCGTGGAGTAGGTATATATGCACGTCTGTTATGCGTTTGCATCTGGATCCTAACGTCTGTATATCTGTATATATAAGAAAAAATAGTATGCGGTCCATTTCAGGATCTGTTTCAATTGATAAGATTTCATTGGACGAACTTGCCGCACCCAGCGCGGCTATTCTATTGCCATTTTATTTGAAGCTGACCTCAGGAACCAGGCGTGCCAACTTTTAATATCGGACAGCTTCCTTTCTTCGTAACAATCCTCGAGCCCGGAGCACTTACTGGCTCGTGGCCATTTTCAAATCCCAAGAAGAAAAGAAACGCTCGAATTTTTCTATGGGATCGACTGTACCAACCACTGTGCTCATATGAGTTTCTATATATGTATGAGAACTGTAGAACCATTATACCAGGATACGTTATGGATACAATAGCATTGGATTGTATACCTATATATACACGTCCCAAGTTAACAGAACGTATTTCAATGGGAATTAAAATGAATTTCGTCAATTCCAAAAGCCATTGTATACCATTTCTTTTTTTTACAATCCATTTGATGGAACGAACTCGAGCTTTGACATTGGTCCAGCCTCCTCGCGTACAGTATAGAAAAGTAAACGATGTCATATAAAAGATCCCGGGTCACTAACCTCTGAATACCTATTCTCATGTTTTATTCCTTCGATTAAAGTATTATCGATCTCTTTATCGAAAGAGCAGGCTGGGCAACATTATCCGTGGTATCGAATTGAAAAAAAAAAAAAAAAAAAATAATAATAATAAAAGACAAATTTTTGCCACCCTCTTAAGAGTGACCTGAAAGCCCAGCTTCGTTTACATTATCAAAGCATAAAAGTGGCAACTGTATATCTTTCAAAGGTTTTCGATAAAATCGATGATAATGACGTAATACAAAGTTTCCCATTTTTCCACTTCCTGCAGCTTTAGCCGGGATCGATTCTCGCGAAGGGTACGGAGCCCGGAAAAGTATACGCAATAAAAATGCAATTCAACATTATCTGAGTGGAGATCGCTCCGAGGCTCATTATGGACGCATACGAATTTCATGATTAGAGATAGTGGAGGGCGAGGGGGAGGCAGGGGCAGGGCGATATCCGTGGCTTCGTAATTGCCCAGGCATTGGGAGGCTACGAGCAATAAGAATAAATGGCATTATCGGGTGTAACCTGTGGTGGGTACCGTTGGGAAAAAGGGGGATGAAAGTCGGAGAAGATTTTAAGGGTGAAATTCAGCGGGGAATTTCGAGGATTCGCCGGAAACGTGGATTACGAAGTAGCCCTTTAAACCCTCTTTGATTAGGCTAAACTTGAACCCTTAAAATTTTCATACCCGGGGAAATCGTCCGAAACTATTTCTTTGGTCGTGACGTATTTAAGACTGACGTCACTTTGAGAAAGGGTGGACCGGTTCTCACGGCTGCTCTTCTTTGAAAGGGATGATCAGGACTAACTCGGGTAAAACGGGAAGAGGGGGGGTGACGGAGGAAAAGGAATCCTATCCCCCCTCCGCCCTTAATGCTGATGTCTCACTACGGTCGAGTTCCGTTTTTCGCACACACGACGCCATCCTGAAATTGCATGAGACTTTTACCTCCTTCGGCCAATTTCGGGCTTCTTCTCTGTTTGATCTATTATCGAGATAATGGGCTGGGGTTCGATAGGAAAGTATTTTTCTGGCGGAGTTAGGTACGCTTTCGTTTCCTTGATTCGTTCAATTTTCTTGGGGAAACTTGGTGAAAATGGAAAGTGGAAAGTAGGAAAAGGTAAAGTCGAGACAAAAAAAAAAGGAAGATGGGAATTATTAAACTTTTCTTGTTCTCTAGAAAACTTTATACGTCGCGCCACGTACGGAAGAACATTTATTAGCTCGGGATTGTCGATTAGGAAAATTGGTTTATGTATGTAACGCGCGAACGCAATCCCAAATATTTAACCAGGAATGCTGTACGAAGAGTCTGTAGATGTTTCATTGATTTTTTCAAATATCTCCAGCCATTTAAAGAAAAAAACCTTGGAACGAAAATTGGCGAAGAACATGGGAATTGCCAGTTGCACCCTCGAGGGTTTTTAATACAATTTTCTGCCGAAAATTCATGGCACGCTTGACCGCGATTATCGTAAGATGCCAGATCGCTTTTCTCCCTCGTCCTACTACGACACGACGATTTTCCTCTCAATTTTCGATTACTTACACATATCTCAAATAACGATTCGTATTACACCGAACCCAGCTCCCTGTGTAAAATAAAAATAAAAAAAAATAATTAAAAAACGTATACAGCATCCTAGTATAAAATACAAAACTAAATTCCAATCGGTCATAAACCGTGTAATCGACAAGCAATAAAATCGATAGTATACAAAAAAAAATAATCTTACCCTCGTAAAAGTACATATTGGATAGACGACGTAAGTTTTGTAAAAGAAAAGTTTAATATTTCTTTTAAAAAATGTCTAAAGTTTGCCGGGGATGATCGGTTGGAATTATCTGCCGGAAACTACGTCACGAGCTACGGCTCGATAAAACAGGAAGCACAGCGCCAGGGAGTTTCGGCTGTCACGTCTTTGATCAGGAAACTCTCGTCTGGCTACTGCAGCGCCACTTCCCCTGGCTCACCGATACGTAGTTAAGTCAATGGAATCGACGCTGCGCGGGCGGCGCCCATTGTGCAAACTTAACTTCGAACGGTTCAAAGTGTTTCGGCTGCAGGTCAGTTGATCGACTCAAAGCACCGTCAAACTCAATTGGATTACGCGAATCCCTGTTAATCACGGAGACCCCCTGCGTAGCGTCGCGACGCCCCCGCCCGCGATGCCATTCGGTAGCGTCGGCGGGTGGAAAATGGGATCAGGCCGATGCATTGTGCGTAATACCGGAATTTCAAGTGCCCCGCAACAAGCTGTGCACTTTTGACCTCTGCACCCTCTCCTCTTCATCCCTTACGTATTTCAACCCCTACGAGTCGGCCTACTTTGTTTCTCCAGACCGAAATAGCACTGACGTACGTTTCCACTGGTATTACGGGTAGGAAAGGTGCAGGTACGTTCCCGGGCAAATAATGTATCGCGTAATCGATAATCAATATATATATTTTTTTTATTATCATTATACCTCGCAGTCGCTCGGATACCCGAATCTTTATTGTAATTTTTAAAGGTTTTTTCTATTTTCATTCGTTCCCTCAAAAATGGACTGTTCGATATAACTCCACGGTTAATCGAGTACTGTCGACACCTCTTCTCCCCCTGTACGACCATACGTGCTTTTGCTTTCGTGCAAACGCGTAAAAGTGTCAACACTCCTGGAAATTCGTCACGTGACGTGGAATCGTCACGTATGACGGGTGTTGCCTGGAAACCCTGTTAATTCGTTAACACGCAAAAAACAATATGGCGCGCAAACAGTGTCACTGGGTTCAATTGGCAAAGAAAGGTGGGACGCTCGAAACTGGAGCTTTTAATAGAGTGTACTGCCGGGGAACAATTTACACACTCCCAATACTTCGTTTTTTCACTTTTATGCAGGTTACTCCGAAGCGTCATTGATATCCCAATCACGTGTTTTGCTCGGAACGGAATTTATATCGGAGTACGTATAATGGTCTGTAGGTCGAGATTTTGCGGTTTATATTCTCCACTGTGATCTATGCGGCATCGATAATTTACCACGTGCTGCTTCTGCTATGTATAGCCACCCGCGGCAAGTCGCATAACTCTCCAAGTGTGGCTGATGTGTATAAAATAAAGTTCATGATAAGTCTGAGAAAATATGATTAGAATTTTGAAAAAAAAATTAATCCACATATTAAATTTAATAAAAAAAAAAAATATCTCCATAGACCACTTTTCATATACTTTCTACGCGAATGTATTTATAATCTCCATATTAATTTTAAATCTTCACGTATCCCAGTAGTAGATCCTATATTCTAGGGAAAATATCTCATGTAATCTCTCAGATGGTACTTACCTACCTCAATTCTTGATCCTCAAATAAAATCGTGTTAGGTAATATCTACAGTGAAATCCCGATAGAATTTCTTTTCTGTAAATTTTCTTTTCTTTCAAATTCATTTGAAATTGTTATTTTAAAAAATTGCACAACATATATATATATACTCTCAAAAAATTTTCGAATAATTCCAAAAAATTCTTTGTATTTTCAGATGCAGAGAGCGGTGCTACTGCTTTGTTGGCTGCCGCTCCTAAACCGCTGCCACGCTGTCAACCCAGGTAAATTTTCATTCGGTCTAAAGTAACGTCGAGGCGTCGGGACGCACAATGGACGCCCTAGTGTCTATCCGTTAACGGGCTGCAAACGTGGGCGCGAAGTTAACGTCGCGTGCTCGAACGTATTAGTATCCCAGGTAGGATGCTGCGCAAATATTATGCTTGCAAGGATATTATCCCTAGGGGTGGTTTTGTCCCAGGGGTTGTACTATGGGATCATATATAGTACACATTATATATACATATATATATCTATATATCGCTATGTACTATAGATCCAAAAGCAAATATATTATGACGCCTCTTTCAAGTGACATCGCTGCACTTACGCGTGCGCGATGCACTCGACCACCGTGCATTTTGAACATTCTCAACTGCCTATATATCCATAAATGCATGGTGCATGTGCAGGGGAAAATAGAAAAAACGGACTATAGTCAACGATACACCGTGACGCAACTTATCGATAAATATAAAATTTGGTCGTCACGTGAATTGTCAAAAAAAAAAAATTACGAAATTTCAAGTTTACGTGTGAACTTATCGATATACGTTTGTATATATATATATATATACGCGTTACGTCACGACGATGCATTTTTACTTCTGTATTATCTCAAAGACGTATCTTTAGGATTCATTTGGATTATGCAATTTATATGATAAGAGATTCCGTGATACAGAAATTCCTTGTATGCTAAATCGAACTCGTGAAAAGTTTTAAGGGATTGGCATCGATTAGCATAATTTTATTAGCCAACGCTGCCCGAGCACTGTGGTTGCACTGCGTCTGGCTCAAATTCCGAAATACGGGTTTTGCACCCTTGCGCAACCGTCGGGACGTCTTCCGTGTAGTGTGGCTGGCTGTATAATAAATTTAACGGGCCACTGGCTTCGGCCGATGCATAATGGTAAATTAATGAGGGAACTCTGTTATTATGCAAGTACGTGTGGTTTATTGGGTTGTTTTAGGTCGTGGGACGAGAGGTGGTTAAAAATTACTTAAAATTTCAAAATCGTCTTTTCTTTTAACGAGCAATTCTCTGCTAAATGGGCAAATCAATTTTATGGCGTATAACAACGGTTATGGTATTAAATTGAAAATATTTTTTTTAATGGCGATAAAACATTTTTACGCAAATAATATCGACCGGCTTAATGTCACGACTGCCAGAAACTGCATTCCTGATATCCGACGTAGTTTGGGGTTGTAATTTCTTTGCCCCCTCGTACGTATAGTCGACTGACCTATATTCAATCCTATCTGGAAAACTTCTTCATTTTATAGCAGTAGTCGAGCAGGAAGACTGTTTTAGCACCGGGCGCAAGGAACGGAAGAAATTAGAATTTGGCATTGGGTTAAATTTATAGGAGAAACAAAATAGAGACTCTACCGATACGTGCATTTCTTTTTGCACGTACGAAACGGTATTCCTGTTTTTTTTTTCTTTTTTTTTTTTCTCGTACGAAAGAAGAATTCAGTTTAGATTCTATATATCATTGGGAAAGCAATTCCTTATTGTGTACCATATCGATATCAATCTCGACACTGCTGATCGATTGGTATCGATAAGTTATTTATTTATATAATTAAAATCGATTTATTTGCACAAAATTATTTCCTGCCGAGATTTCATCTCCAGTGAAGTTCAGTAAACACAGGGGACGTAAAGCCGACGAGTGCGTATATGAAATAAAAATGAGATTCGTCGTTCTGTTTATGAATAAATTTATAAACAAATGGTCTGACAAATACATGTTAAACGTATCGAAAGTTCGTTGCTTGAGTTGTCTATTGAAAAAAAGAAGTCTACGTGTGAAATTATATAATCGATTAAATAGAAAAAAATTATAAAAAATCCTGGTAAAATGTACAGTTACGTCACAACGTACTATCAGTATTTCTTATATAACTTTCGATAGCAACGTGCTTTCTCTTTCTATGGGTTGAGATCGTGCGAATTTGTGCACGTAACTTCTGACGTTAAAAGTTACGCGCGAATTTCGAGAATTCAACCAAAGGAGATTCCAGAACCGCGGAGAATTCTTCGTGCCCAGTGATAAGTTTTGTGTTTCGAATGGTACAGGTACTCGGAAAATACATCTCGTGACGGTTAAATGTCGACTATATAAATCGTACGTTAGATACGTAAAGCAGTTATGTAAAATTTACATGTGACAAAAGTGTTTGCTGGCTATTGTTGTTTGATATATATATATATATATACACACACACAGTAACTGTAAGAATGTTAACCTGTATCCCTGGCTCCTTATAAGATTCCAGCACTGTAGCTGTTGGGGCTGTTTTCTCGAATCCAGCCGAATCCCACGAGAATTTTCGTAGCCTTTAAAAACACAACAATAAGTACACGTTTGACAATGTCCACGTTTCCGTACGTACCAAGGGACTAAAATTCCATTTACGAGAAAGTTTTCTATCGCGCATCGAGAAAGGACGCACCCTGGATAAAAGAGGATTACTTTTGATCCTTTTCTTTATTTAACAAAGCTCGGAAGTTCCCAGAGAAGAGGTCCAGACTGAGTCTAGGAAATCCCCACGGAAGACGCAGCAATGTTTATATCGAATTCGAGGAATTTCTTACGGAGCCTACATGTTTTTTTTCGAAAATATCCGAGAAACAAAGAAATTCATTATTATTCATTTTTTTGACTTTTTTCCATTCATAATAACAATATCAAGCGGCACCGTGAAGCGTGAATTAATAAATCAATTGATATCATTCGTGATAATGTATTTTCGATATTTTTATCGTTCAACCTATGCGCTTCAAAAATAATTTTCATTTGGGGCTGACTGACATGGTTTTGGAAAATTTTGTAACGAGCTGAGGTCGTCCAACAATCCAAGTGCGACAGCAGAGCCGAACCGCAGGCTTGCCAGCAGTTTGAAAATTGGTTCAGGTTTCAGGGTCTAGTCTGATCCGTTTGTTTCGGACAGGTTTGGATAGTATGCATGATATACATATATATATCCAACAGACTCTGATTGGTTCAGGACAAGTTAGTCTGATTCGACCGGTACCTGGAACTCCAGAAAGTTCATCCTTACCGCCGTGTTCACGGTAAGCCGCAGTTATTCGTTAAGTTTCGCAAGTGTGTGTACTTCGGGATGCACAAGAGATAGGAGGCCATTTTGATTTCGGACTGCTCGACTTTGCCAGGAAAAATAAAACTTGACGCACGTGGATAGAAATTGTAATTGAAAAGTTGGCCGCGGGAGGGCAGCACTTGCCGGTCAGTACTCGAACGAGAGGGGGTACTGATTTCTATACGGAAGGACCTATTGGGCCCGACTTCAGTCTTCCGATTATTCCCTATCTGTATCGTCTTTTTCTTGAGGCCTTCTGCCTATTTTCCACCATCTCTCCCTACACCCTTTACCCCACCATTTACGAAAACGCGCAATACAGTGAATCGGGCTACTGAACTATCTGGAACACAGTCGTTTTCTACCGTGCGCCAAAATCCGCGTGTTGGTTCAATTCTAATAAGTAAAGAAAATAATTCGTATACGAAAGTTGACGGGCAGTGCAAAAATAATCCGTCGAATCGCAAAGTTGTCAAACGGATTCTGTAGTGACGTAAGACGGACTGGACCTGTGAAAAGTGAACAAGGAAATCTGAAAAGAAGACAAGGACCGGATCTAGCAGATTATCCACGATGAGGATCCCGTGGTAAATATTTTTTATTTTTTCTTTTTCCTTTTTTTACTCATAATCATGCAATAGCATAACAGTCCTTACGCTACAACTTTTGTATATTTATATCTATGTATTTTTTTTGGTCCTATCAAATCCCAATATCAGTGAATTCCAAATAATGTTTACAATGACACCACGTGCCAGTGACATCCTTAAATAATATCCGCTGCCAGTTTTGTTTTACTTTGTCACTTAGTGTCATTAGTGAATAATGTATATCGTGCCAAAATGGCGATTTCGCGATAATGGCGAAATGCTCTTAGACCAACATCAACAGTGCCCCAACAGCCCTTGTAGAATCCATTTATATTTTATGAAATGCTTGTCGAAACTACCGACCAAAGTTTTACCACTCGTTTGTTTTCACTGAAAAAAAAAAAACTAGCTTTTCACTTTGCTTTATTTGCTTAAAAATGTTTCTCTGTCGAACCCTAAATTTTTCACGATCCAAGACAAACAGACACCTCAGGCGGGTCTTGAACTCATTAATTCGACCGTATCGACGACTACAGGCAGAAGCTTCATAGCAGCTTTTACCCTCGATCCCTGCTCGTTAAGCGAGTTTGGGGTAAACAATCGGATTCGACGAAAAAATTATAACGAAGACTCACCCCAGCCACCCTAATGCGTTTTTAACGAACTTAAAAATATTCACAAAAAAAAAAAGAAACATCGAATGCGAATAAAAAAGAAAATGTCGGGTTTCCATAATAAATGCAACTAGAAAATATCGAATTTATAGAAGAGACCCTATAGCGTCTAGCTATTTCATATCTATTTACCTGGATGAAACGAAACCCACCCACTCGCCTATGGGAATGATAAAATAAGATGGTGCTACGCTTTCTTGAAAAATTCTATAACCGCAACATGCATTATATATAGGCGGAGCGAGCAGCTATATAGGAAATGTGCAGCTAGCCCTTTGCACACTTAGGAAGCACAATCCACAAAGAACCCAAGGAGATATTCGATTTTGAACGTTCGCTAACGCGATCGGTACTTTCAATTCCTTTCGATCCATTGCTTTATCGAGTATAAGAACAGGGGTAGATCCGTACGTAAGTTTCCGCAGTAAATTCAATAGCCGTTAAAATTCAAGACCCACCATCCGAAATTTACATGAAAATATTAACCCACGAATTAAAAGGGTTGAAAAAATGAAGGAAAAAAAAAATCCAAAAATCACCCATTCTCAAACGACAAATTATTATCTTTCTTAAACGTAATTTCACGTCGATCGTCCCTCGGTAGATTAATCTCGAAAATTCCCCCCA